TGTTTGAATTTTTTTGAGTTTTGGAATCATCCTTTCCCTTCTTATTACTGCAGTTTCGTTCTTTTCTTCTTTTGTCTGGACAATCTCTCGCGATGTGTTGATAATTTCCACAATATAACATTCTTTTCTTCTCGCGTGAAATCTTTCGTGTTTTGGATATTCTTTTCTCATGGGTGGTGGAATATATTTGTCGTGTGCACATGTTGTATCCAGGAATCTCGGTGATCGCTTAATTCCATTTCGAACTTCGTCGAAAGATTTTCCTTTGGCCGTGAAATAAATATCACATTCTGTAGCTAATTCTTGAGGCTTCAGCCATTTATTTCCTTGGCGTATTGCGACGTGTGCAGCTGTTTCTTCATCTAAATGCTTGGAATAATTTATCGGAAATAATTAACTCCTTGAGTGTTTCGAAATCCTTTACTTCTCTTGACTTGCAGTAATAGTCCCATGTAGCTGTTAGTCTTGAAGCGAACTGGATATGCGTTTCACGCCGGAATAACGTTTTAGTTTTTCTGAAGTTTTCTAAACAGGTTTGAGGAGTAGGTTGGATATTCCTTCAGAACAAGAGTTTTCACTTTTTTCGTAATTTTGCAGATCTTCCTCCTTTATATAAACAAGAACATTTGAAGCTTTTTTTTCTCCAATTAATTTCAATAATATTTCTGATTTGTATTCTTCAGGAACCTTCTTGTGCTTAAATGCTCTTTCGATAGAATCGAAAAATATATTCCATTCTTCTGCTCTCTTCGGTACTGGTATAGTCAGTGTTTCTACTCCTTTGATCAGCTTGTCCAGGGAAATTTCGGTTTCTCGTTCTGTGTTTTGGATTAAAGGTGTTGGACTTCTACTTCCTTCATTTTGAGTTGCTCGAATCTTCGCTAGTTCTATTTCGTGTTCTCTTTCTGTTCTTATTTTCTTCTTCTTCCATTTGCATTCTTTCCATTTCTTTTCTTCTTTTTTTTCTATTCTCCACTGTAGTAATCAGAATTTCTTTCACGAAATCAGCATCTTCGATGTATTCCTTGCTATTCTGGAGTTTGTGTTTTCAGTTCTACCAGCTTCAAATCTGGGGATGCTTCTTCGCCAATTTCCAATAGAACTGTTACTAAATCCTCTTTCTTTGCGTTTTTGAACATTTTCTTCTATTTTCCTTTAGAATCAAGCCTTTCAAACTCTCGATTAAATAATTCTCACGTTTTTTACTCTCTTTTGCAAATGAACACTTCTTTCGTTAGTTAGGCTTAACTTTACGCCTCTTCCGTTTTCAACGCTCTAAGCTTCTAACCTCTCTGGTTTTCTCGATCGAAAGAGAGCGTGTTGTGATGACTTCATGGTTTAATAAGGCACCATTTAGCAAGATGAAACAAACATTTATTAAATATATAATTCAAAGCATAATATAATAGTTACTCAGAGCAGTACGTCGCTTCTACCGCATAGTACAATCTACTACCTTCCTCTTCCGAGGCTAACATGCAACTCCTAATAAATACATTAACCCTTCTCGAAGAAGAGCTACCTGCGCCAAGCATGCTCTGTTGATCGCCAAACAGTCGCCAGATATCACAGCTACAGAATGTACGTGTATGAATATATGTATTTAATAATTGGATGATTGATTGGATATAGAAGCTACAGATGATAGAAGCTACAGAATGTACTTGTATGAATATATGCATTTAATAATTTGATGATTGATTGGAACAAGTGTAATTCAAATTGCATATCTTGGTCAGTAAGGCTGAAGACTTAGTTGGAATTAAAGGCTTTAGTTACTATATTGACTAAAATTATCAGTTAGCTATTTCAACTAATTGAGCAAATCTGTTAATTAAGGTTAAGCAATAAGTGTTAACCTAACTTTTACCTGTAAATGCACATCCATTTTTAGCTGAAGGCCAGAGAAAAAGGTTGTTATTATTGGATGATCTAGTTGCTCTAATGCTTCAAAGGAAAATCACTGAAATTTAGTAAGGAGATGAGGTCATACCTTTCCTGCAGTTAATATTAATTTGGATATAAGTGTTTTGCCAGAATATACATTTGTAAGAAATTGTCAATGGATCTTAACTCTTCCCAATCAATCATTTTCTTGAGTGTATGCTACTTGAACATCGTCTTTTGTACTTGACACTGAAATAGCTTCTATCCTAGATAAAGCATTCAAAGGGTATTTTAATTATATAATTCTGTTGATATATTTAGATTTAAAAATTTAGTTATATGCTATGAGTGCTACTATTGATTAACATCAGAGAAAATTTGAGGAAAATAATTTTAAAATCTAGGAGTAAATTCAGAAAAAAATTTAACTTTTGCTTCTTTTGACCTTAAATTTGAATGAAATAAAATATCCAAAACTCGAGATTTTTTACACTGCAATAAAATGGTAAATCTGCTTAATATTTCATTTTTCAAATACAGTGAAAAGAAAATGTCTAAATTTAATTTCATTTTAAAATTTGTTATAAGTATTTTAGACCTGTAACTCATTTTAAATGATGCATTTTGATGATTAAAAAATGCAATTATTTTTAAATCAAACTGATTTCATAGCCATTCAAATAGTTTGTCTGTAGTCAAACACTTTTTTTTTCTCCCTATGTTATTTTAAGAATGGAATTAAAATATCCGAGATCAAACACTTTTTTTTTCTCCCTATGTTATTTTAAGAATGGAATTAAAATATCCGAGATCAAACACTTTTTTTTTCTCCCTATGTTATTTTAAGAATGGAATTAAAATATCCGAGATTGGATAAATTAAAGAGTGCAGTAAAAGATTTTGACTTAAGAAGAATAAACTTCACGTTACCTTCTTTCAAGTTGCTTTTCATTCAATATTTTAGTGGATATATTCAGATGCAAAATAAATACATGTTTGATTTTATTGTTTTACGCGTATTGGAAAAATGCATTAACATTGATCATAGTTTTGATTTCGTTAATTACTTAAATACTTTTAAAAATGAACTTAAATACTGATATATTAATACTCTGTTGTCCTCATTGTCAACATATTATCAGAAACTTGGTTTGCAAGTAGGAGTGCCTGTATATGCATGTGTTAAGAATTTTAATGTTTTCTAGGAAATACTCCTTATTATTGAACCATTTTTATTCTATGGTTAATTGCTGGTCTTTTTACACAAGCTCATTATTCTCTTTGTTTTTATCCTTCTACTGTTTTCTTTGCTTTCAGAATAGGAACAATGATGGGAGGAGTAAAACAGTAAATCATGATTCTCAATGTGACTTTTAAATTAAAATTTTAAAATAAAGTGCCTGACGTGTACTCAGTGTATATTGATTTTAGCTGCAGTTTTCATTTATCTACTTTTTAGATGAAGAGCAAAAAATGACAGTAATACTTTTACTGAATTAATTCATCTTCAGAAATGAGACTGTGATATTTTGGATAAATTAGAATATACTAATTCAGAAGTCAAACAACAAAAATCAGCGTTAATTTGCAAAATTTTCACAGGACTAGTTTCGATGGTTTTACCGAACCATCATCTTCAGCTGCAAAACCGCAAATGAACAAGATAGGAAATAATGCTTAGATAAGATAAGAAAGCCTGGACAAGAATAAGCAAGTGGCGCCATCTGTTGGCGAAACATCTGTTGGCGAAAAAAATTAACGCTGATTTTTGTTGTTTGACTTCTGAATTAGTATTTATTCGGCGTGTTATTGTGTCTTAATTAAATTAGAATATGCTAATGAAAAACCAGAATGTAATGCTAATTACATTCTGATTTTTCAATTATGTAATTCTAAAGACAGTCTTTTATAAATAATGAACTCTAATGAGAATTTTAATATTAAAAGTGGAGGTAAATAGCTTCAATGAAAAAAATGACTAGCTTTAAAAGCTCATGCATTAGGTATTTTAGGCATAGTGAAATGAAATTTTAATACAACATGAAACACTATTGAAGAACTTTTCAAAATTCTTAGTAATTTAGATAATTGTGAAGTTTATTAATTTAAAGAAAAATTGTATTATAGTTGATTATTTGAAACAATTTTTGATTTAATACAGATTTTTACACTATTTTACACTTGATAGAAAAATATTAATAATTTTTAATAGAGTGTTATTATTTGTTTATTTTAATTACTCTATTTATACCAAACTACATGTTAGATATTTAAAATTATAACTTAAATGTCAGTATTTATTTTTAAATATTTGTTTTTCTATGGCCTATTGTTGCTTAATTTTGTAATTACATTGTTTTTGCTCACTGCCTCGCTGATTTTTACAAAGTCTCTAGAAGATTTAACCATTTGAATATATGTGTATATACTTATTTACCATTAAAAAAACTTGACTGCTTGGTTCTGCATCAGTGTTAGACATTTCTAATATATTTTTATAAGTAAGAGTTAGTTTAATTAGTTAACTGTCTCTTCTTATTACATTTTAAATAGTATTGATCCTTTCTTTTTTCTTAGAATATTTTCAATATCTCCTCTCATCATCTGGAAGAGACAGGTTAAGTAGAAGCTATAAAAAATGAACATCTTGTAATTACCTGTTTACTTTATGAGCTTTATGTAATATAGGAACAGCGTGATGATATATATCTAACAACCTAGAGTACTCATTTAAGTAGTTAAGCACACTTTCCAAAAATCTTCAAAAAAACTTTCTTTTGCTAGAAGTTTTTTGGTTACTGTACTGCTGAATGGACAGCCTGTGCAAAACAAATATGTGGAATTAAATAAATATTTGTTTTTTTTTTTTGGGGGGGGAGCTTAATTTTCATCAGAAAAAATAATTTTATAAGAATGCTTTTGTATTAAAAAAATTTATGCTATGAGCATGTGTGTATTTAAATTTTTTTTTTTTTTTTTTTACATCAGTATGCTAGTGTGAAAGTTATTCATCTACTATTTAACAATTAATAAACATTTAAAAATTCTTTGTTATTTAAAATCTTTTCTAGGAAATGTTTACTTTTTTTTTTTTTTTTTTTTTTTTCTTTCAGAGCTTCAGTTGGGCTTTTTTGTTCAACACCTGGTGTAGCTGTATCCCGAAATGTTCCACTTAAAATTGCTTCATATATGCTACTTACTGGAAATAATTTAAATGCACAAGGTAACTGAATAGTTTAAGGAAATAAAACTGAAATTATATTTTGTTTGTTAGATGTGAATATTAATCAGATTACGGTAGAACAGCTACATGACTTTAATTCTAATTTTTAGAAGCGGTGCAGTCTGGTCTAGTAAGTAAAGTTGTTAGTCCAGAGCACCTTGAGCAAGAGGTATTCCTTTAAAAAAAGTCTTTTTAGTTTTGTTTTCTGAATATTTTTATTGAATTTATTAATGAATTTTTTTATTATTATTATTATTATTATTTCAAGGTGGAGCATGCTATCCAATCAATTTTATCTAAAAGTCGAAGTGTTCTTGCCTTGGGAAAGAAATTTTTCTATGAACAACATGATAAGAACATTGAAGAGGCTTATAGGTATGTTATATTTAAATCTAATATTTTTCATTAAAAAAATATCCAAACTTCAATGTCTGTCAGTAGCTGAATGGTTGAAACATTCGATTACTACAGTCAAAAGTCTTTAATCCAGACTCGTCGAGACTTCGGCGATTCCGGATTATAGATCATCAGTTTAAATCTGGTAAGATGGCATGCAGAAATTATAAAATTAAAAATATGAAACCGTAATTTATGAAATAAAGAGCAATTATGATCTAAAGGGTATCAAAATTTACAAAAAAAGCTTAATTTTTGTTTACTTTATTAAACATTTCTTTTAACGCGCGCATGTGTAAAGCATACATTACGCATAGTTGAAATTAGAAAATTGCAACCAGAAAACTATTTGATGTGTATTCGTGATATTTATAATGACAAGGAATTTGATTTAAATCATATCAAAGAGAGTACATCCAGATGAAATACTACATTTAGTAAGGAATTATAAGCCGAATAAAAAAAACAACATCTGCCCTGAAGATAAGGATAGTGCTGACAGATCAACTTCCAGTTCATTGCTTGTGCGCCGTGACTCCCCCCCCCCCCCCCCCGCTGAGCAACGTGAAATTGATAAACAGATTTCCGAATGGTTAGAGAAACAAAGGATATGCCTTTATCCATTTTTTGCAGCAATTCCACTTTTTGTTTGATGGACATCGAAACATGCTTTCGCTTTGTAGATCCTTTGGCAGCCCCAGAATCGGAAATTCTTTTTCACATAATCGAAAGTTCAAGCTTAGTTTTATAAAATTGCTCTAGCAGTCTGCAAAAAATAATAAGCCGGATCCAATTAAAAGATTAAGGAACTATGCAATCTGCAACATTAACTGAAATAGATAATTAGATAATTTTAGCTTAGCTTATACCGTCCATTATACATTAAACGTGCATGCATAAACGTATTATGCGCATGCATCGAAAGTTTGTAGCTTTGAGGTCCGGATTATAGATCAGTCCGGATTATGGACGTCCGGATTAAAGACTTTTGACTGTATATTCTGCTCTTTGATGATTTGGTTTTCAATGTCAAAGTTTCTTCCATGACGAGTTTCATGATATTTTCTACGTATGAAGTCTGCAGTATTGAGTTTCTCAGAGAACATTGTCCATATGTAAAAATCTTGAAAACAAAGATCGATAGAGGAACACAACAATCTATATATTCATTGTGAAAGCTATATGATTGTTATACAGAAGTTTCCAAGTAATAGTTACAAAAGCTGCAGACAGGTGATGCTGTACGCTGGTGCCTTGGATTTTGAATGGAAACATGTCTGTGCTGTTCTTCAGTACTTTCTGCTTGCTAGAATGCTTCAAACCAGTCTTTGCTGCAATTCTTCAGATGGATTTCCTTGGATTTTGCGAAGTAATTCCAGAAACAGTCGTGACATTTTCAAGAATAACTGCAGTTTGCCTGCAACCAAAACTCCCTACCAGATCATTGACCATGCTGCCTCTCTGTGTGGCATTTAGCTAAGAACTTGTGAATAGTTTTCATATCTGATCCTTTGGGAACATTCTGTCAGGTTTGGTTTGGTTTAGGTGATTACAGAAAAGCCATAAGGGCTATCTGCATAAGGGGACTGATGCCTTCCTAGAGGACTTAGCTTCCAAACTGAGGGAAACTGTCTCGTATACACATTACACCTAAGGAAAACCATGAAAATGTCCACTGTTGGGCACAGTCGGGTTTGAAAACTATGTGCCATTGCCATTGGACTGTGATCTAACCTCTGGTATTCTAATACCAGAAATATATGTTGTTCAATGGAATGCATGATTTCAGCCTGTTCCTTCATTACAACAACCTTCTTTTCCTGTTTCTAGATCAGAACTGATTGCCCTTACAGCTTTTGGAGCACTACTTGCATGCACTACAGATTCCGATTGCAACGCCATTTGTTTACAGCTTTTGTAACCAGTATTTGGAAGCTTAAGTATAATAGTCTTAGAACTTTCACAAGAAATATATCGCTTTTTGTATTCCTCTATCAATCTTTGTTTTTGAGATTCTGGGGGAATTTTGAAATCAGGCAGTCCTTTGGTATAGTATGACCCTGTATGAATTGGTATATTGAAATGCATAATCTAATCAACTTTTATCTCCAAAGGAGGGAGGTTAAAATTTCATGCAAGTTGATTTTAAGACCCAATAATATTTTTAGAATTTAATGCTTTTACATACGTTGTTCTCTATTATTTCAAGAATGTTTAGAAATGATTTCTGCTGGTTACTATTTGTACAGTTCTGGATTTAGTGCTGTATATTAGACTATGTCCCAGATTGAAAAGTTTCAAGATTTTTAAATGAATTCCTGAATTTTTAAATGAGTTGAAGAAGAATTATTAATTCCCAGCATAGGGAAAAGGTATTGAAACTTAAGTAATGTTTTTACTAGGTCTAGGTATTCTTTACTTCTGTCAAGTAATTTTCAACTACAGTGGGCAAAATTTGATAAAGAGTTTTCAGTGAACAACTGAAAATTAAGGTCTCCACAGCATGTTTTTTACAATAGTGTCTGTCTAAATATGACTTTTTTTTTGTTGTTGTTGTTTGTTTGTTCACAATAACTCTTGCATAAAAATTTTTGAAAATTTCTATTTTCCATATTTTAAGCTTTCTGGATTTTTATAAAAAGTCGATTAGGTTTTAAACCCATAACAGTTTTTAGTGAAAAACCATATTAAAATATAATCCAAAACTTTTCAGGTTTAGTATTTCATAATTTTATATCAAAATAACATATTGGTTTTGGGCTAAAATTGATAAATTGGAAGTAGTACATTACTTGAAGCTCTGAATAGATTAAAAAAAAAAAAAAAATGTTGTTAGGATATAATCCAAAACTTCTCAAAATTTGGTATTTAAAACTTATACAATGATATATAATGCATGCACAATCATGATTAAGAATAAAATTTTAGATTTGGACTATATATGATAAACCAGAAATGTTAACAAATTTTCGTGGAAAAATATAGAATTACTATATTAAAGAATTTCATCTAAAATAATGCAGCACATATTAAGCCTATTTATAATATATCTAGACATGATATTAACCCTTTGAGTACTGAATTATTTGAAGATTTTTATGCCCATGGGACGGATTTAATTTGTTGCTATATGGATTAATATGTAAAAGTAATAAATTTTATTTGGAATATACTTATATTGGTGATATAAATATATTTTTGAGAAAACATTTTAGTTAGAAAATATAAATAAATATATAAATGAAACAAAATAGAAATATTTATATAAAACAAGAACCAACTTAAAGCACTGATTCCAGCTATTTCTTGAAATTGTTTTATATCAACAAGATTTTCTTTTTCTTCCCAAATCCATTGTTCTTGCAATTGTTGGATAGAAGATTCACTATCACTTGATAAAAGCCGTGTGCATTTTTGATGCACTGGTATTACTTCATTATCATCACTATCACTTTCCAATTCATTCTTGTTTACATCATTTTCACTATCCAATTCACTGTTATCATACAGCTGTAATTCTACTTCATTGAAACTATCATTTTTCACAGTATAATGAATTTTTTATTTTAGACATCTTAGGATAGCGTGTCAAGAAAACAGGGGTAATAATAAAAATAAGTAGAATTAACCGTATTTGCAACTGTAAGATGTCATAAACAAATGCCAGGCAAATGTTTGTGATCTACGTCCACTGCCGGGGTGTTGCAAACATCAATGCCTGCTTCTTAAATTCAGATGACCAGTCAGACTCGTCCACCGTAACTTCACCCGAGCAAGCAGATGACAAGTCTCACTTGTCAAATGTACCCAAAAGATTAATATACGTAAAGTAAGCAAGAAGAGAATGATTTTTACAACAGGGTTCCATTTGAAGAACTTCAAAACTCTTTTCATGCAGGCATAGGAAAAATGCTTTTGTTATCTCGTACTCTAGTGAGGATGGTGGGGCCTAAGGCCAAGTAGCAAATTTGAAAACATTTGTTGCTTTACTTCTGCTCCTGAAATGCATGATAGTCACCACTGAGCTGTAGTTTCAAAAACTAACAAGCATTGTGTAAACATTTTTTTTAAATATATTTTCCTGAGTGGCAACAAAAGAGTTTTTTGAACAGTTATGTTTCTTTGAAGTGTGCATAGTCATTTTGTATTTTCAGTTGTATCGTCTCTAGGATTTAACAACATATTGCCTTAATGTACGTTAAGCCTAAACTGAATGCGGAAGCTCGCCAAAACTGAAGGTAGGAAGGTACGTGCATTTATAAACTGTTTTTGTTAAAGTATTAAACGGAAAGAACTTAAGTGGAATTATTATATTATTATTTGAAAATTGAAGTCTTAAAATGGCTTATTTGGCAAGGGGCAAGAAATGTGACTTAACTTGCTTTGGAACTTGATGTAGATGTCCCTTCTGATATTAAAATTGTAGGCTTAAGGGATATGATTTTGAATAGTTAGAACTATAATGAAGAATTTACTAAACAAATGCTAGATAGAATTATAAATGATCGTTTAGACAGGGAAAAGTTTGAAATTTTAGAAAAGCAAAGAACATTTGAACTCGAAAAGGAAAAGATGGAAATTTTAGAAAAGCAAAACATTTGAACTCAAAAAGGAAAAAATTAAAATTTTAGAAAAAGATAAGCAAAAAACATTTGAACTTGAAAAATTGAAAATAGAAACGAAAACCAGAAGTAGTTATGTAAATAATTCTGTTCCTTCTAATGTTAGTAAAAGTAATTTTTGTGATATGAGTAAATTAATGCATAAGTATGATTTGAATGAAGGTATATAAGTTTTTATTTAGTCTTATTTGAGAGATAGGCACGGCGTATTGGGTTAGAAGAAGAAAATTGGGTTTCTCAGCTGTTGGGTCTGTTGTCTTATGAAATAACTCAATTAATTACCCCTGAATCAGAAGAAAAAGCTAACGACTATAAGCAAGTTAAAACAACTGCTATTGAGAAAAATTTAAGTTAATC